TATAAGTAATGTTCGTCATTATTTAAAAACTCCTAAAATTCCCATGTTGCCGAGACGGAATTTATAGGGAAACTTCGGAAAATAAAACATGCATCAGGGAAATGATTAACAGGGGGAAAATATTTTTAATAATTTTGATAATTTTAAGCATTATTATGGATAAATTGTTTGAAAAGTATAAAAATTTGTAAAAATAATTTTATTTAAAACAGTACTCAATTACTTTTATAATGTATTTGGTGAATAACAAAGAATTGCTTCTCACTCACATAGCATTACTTTATTATTTGAGCGCAATTATTAAATTTTGATTAAAGAATAATTTACAAAACGATTCAAATTTAATTAATTAAATAGATTTTGTCTAGTATTCTTCTCGATTATGATCAAGCATGTTAGGGCACATGTAATAAATACGTTAAAAGTATTTATATATCTCGATTGGTCATCGTTTGACCACATTTTTGTCTTATTTTCCCAATTTTAAGGAATATAAAGAATTTTCCGGCGCAAAACTATTTTCCTAGAAAATAGTTTTCAAAAATGGGAAATGACGAACATTAAATATAAGTAATTATTCAATTTTAATAACCTCAGATTCTGGTGCCCAGAAATGTAAACGTAATATATAAAATTACTTTCTAATTTGTGGATATGGTAGTTTATCTACAGTAATATTATTGTGTATATCAATAGTGTTTTATGTATTCAAAATATATTCTTTGTATACAATAGAAAGTTTATTTGCTTACAGATTGTTTTTAAAATGATATGTCATAAAGTGTTGCAAACATTTTCATAATGTACATACACTCATTATAGAGTGTAACTGGGAAAGCGTTTTGTTGAATAACTCGAAAACGGCTGATTCGATTTTAAATTTGTTTTCGCTAAATTATAGCCTGATAATACGAGAATCGAATGGTATATAATATGACATAATTATTCAGTTGAATACTATTTTAATTGTAGCTTGAAAATATTATTATTTTACATTACAAAAATAACATTCTTAATTGTGGTATAACTTTTGTAGATTACGTCGGAATTGGGAAATTTCTTCAGAATAGTATTACACTCATCCATACCTATCCATTGATATATAATATGATATACTTATTCATAGAATACAATATTTGATATTCAAATTTTTCCCGATAGAAGTGGTCACTGCGGCCAAACCCGAGGTCGTCTGGCCAAAAAATATATACCACAATACTTCCTACAAAGTGTACTTTAACTTTACAACAATAATTCACGGTTGCACTCTTGGTCAGGAATTTGACTCTAAAAATGCATTGAATCCCATGTAAAATAATTATTTTTTAAATCTATAATTACATTAGTATTCTGTTGAATAATTATGTCATATTATATACCATTCGATTTTCGCATTATCATGCTACAATTTAGTGAAAACAGATTTAAAATCGAATTAGCCGTTTTCGAGTTATTCGACAAAACGCTTTCCCAGTTACACTATATTTTGAGTGTATATACATGTATAAGTGTATAGAAAATTATGAATAATTTATTTTAAAAAATTTTAGTTTCATTTCATTCCAATAAAAAATTTATTTTTTAATACTTTTGTTTAATTTACTGAAAATATCAATGATATAGAAGAGAGATAAGTCATTGGCAATGGCTTTGAACATTGAAGCCATTGCTTATAATCACACTCTCAGGCATTGAGACATTCATTTCTTCCATCTTTTGGATCAGTTCTCTTTTGACGATTGGCAATAAAATCAATCGGAATACTCGCTTCTTATTGGCCAGTGTTTTGGTCAGAAAATAGATCAACACTTCGATCAGATCTTCTCCCGGAATCTCTACCAATTGGAGTCCATCCACACGAGTGAAGAGTTCGAGTATATGTCTTGTAATGTGACCGCCGATGACATTACAGATAATAATGTGTTTCAATTTCGGTAGTTTTGACACCAAATGCATACACCGATAGAAACATAAATTACAGTTATTTCCGTCATCACAATCGGTGCGATAATACATGTGATTGAGTGTCAGTTTGCGGACATTTGGAAACATCTCAATTAGGTTTGACCACCAATTCGGTGAACACTTCAGTCCCAACAGTAATAGTGTTCTCAACGTTACCATTGGTTGCATATATCGGGCCATATCTTGAGTGTCGAAACACATTCTCTGCATCTCTTGTGAATACCTAACACTAGAAATAATTTGCAACTTTTGTAAGTCTTTAAGTTTTGCTATATTTTGGGCAAAATTCTTGGAGGAAATGTCTCCCAAACGAGTGTTTAAATGTGTCAAACACTTGAGTCGATTGCATATTAATGCAAACCATTGGTTCCAGAGATCAATCTCAACAGCATTTGGCTCTTTTGACGACTCGTAAATTTCTAATCTTATTATTTGCCGGCATTTACTTGTGATCACATCAATGGCCTGACTGTCCATCGAAGACACACCGATGTATAGGCATCTCATGTTTGCCGCCAAACTATCTGTCAGTAATGATAATGTAATGGTTTGGTCCGAAACGGTTGGCTTCAAACCCCACACATCTATGCTATTGAATGAAGACATTCTTTGCACAAACTTTGTCACAATAGAGATGTATTGTCTATCAATACTTCCGATTGATATGTGTTTGACTTTTGATAGGAGTTGTGCCCATTCGGTGATTGTCTCATCGGTTGTGTCTTTTGAGTAATAGATATCGATGTCATAGAAGTAGACGCCTTGGAGTTGTGGCCACTGATTGACAAACAACTCCATTGTCTTGAAACTGATTACAGTTGACGACAGATATAACTTCTTTACGCCACGGAATTGGCGGACAATAGACTCGAGTCTATTCTGTTTGTTGTAATCCATAGCGACAGCAATGCCTTTCAAAGTGATCGCTGGTGTGATGTCTATGCGATTCCAGTCTTGGGCTTCAAAATTCCGGACAAAATATCTCAACCCTGAGGTCGCTTTCAGGTCATTGAATCCAATGCTCACTCTTTTATTCGTCAGCAGTACTTCTTTCACACAATCATTGAATTGTTGTGACACTCGTTGTAATGCAAACAAGTCTTTGAGATCCAGATCCTTGAATATAGTGTACAGAATGTCATCATTCATGACACGTCTTCTTCTGGAACCCATTTCCTATACTTTTATCTTTGTTTCAAACCTTTACATCATTTCAAAAAAATAAATTTCAAATTCATTTTTTTAAACATAAATTTAGTTAAAATAATTGTTTACTTTTAAATTCAAAATTTCATTCAATCATTTGTTATAATAATTGTAATTTTTAGAATTAATTATTATTGATGTTACATTTTATATAAATAATTGGTATAATGTTTTTGTAAGCAATACATAATAAATAAATGATAAGATAATTATAAATATTAATTTCTTTGAATGTATTTTATTATATTAAAAAGGATAAAATGAAAGGCATATAGTTTTGAGAAATAATATAATAAATCATTGACCGAAAACGTGGCCGAAAATCATGCATCCATTCATTGGGATATCCATTGTTTCCATTCTTTGGATCAGTTCTCTCTTGATATCAGAGCGCAAATTCAATCGGAATTCTCGCCGCCTATTGTCGAGTGTGTGGATTATAAAGTGGATCAACTCATCGATCAACTCATCTTCACTCGAGATATCAATGGTGAGCTGATCCACACTTGCAAACAGTTCCAGTATATGACTTGGAATGTAACGGCGACTCACATAACTAAAACAAATGTGTTTCAACTTTGGCAGTTTTGACACGAAATCCATACACCGATAGAAACAGTCATTACATTCGTATACGTGTTTACAATCCGTGCAATAAAATATGAAATTGAGAGTCAATTGGCGGACATTCGGGAAGAGAGCGAAGAAATTTGACCACCGATTCGGCGAACACAGGACTCCATCCAGCGATAGTGTCTTCAACGACACCATTGGCCGCATATATTTGGCCATCTTTTGAGTGTCGAAACACAGTCTCGGAAAGTCCCCATTAATATGACCGAAATTGATGTCAAGTATTCGTAAGTGTTTTAGTTTTGCGATATTTTGGGCAAATTCTTTGGCGGAAATGTCGGCTAAAGTAATTTTGAAATATGTGAGTGCTTTGAGTCGATCGCAGATCAATAGAAACCACTGTTTCCAGAGATGATAGTCGACGACATTTGGTGTCCATCTATAGAACTCACAAATGGATAATTTCTTAATTTGTGTGCATTTAGTTGTGATCACATCAATGGCCTGACTGTCCACTGAAGTCACGCTTATGGTTAGGCATTGGATGTTTGCCGGCAAACAATGGGTCAGTACTGATAGAGCGATGGTATCGTTGTTTACCAGCAAATCCAATACATTTACACTTTGAAGTGATGGCAAGTTTGCGATAATCTCTGAGATAAATGTCACATATTTTGAGTCAATACTTCCGGTAGTAATGTGTTTGATTTTAGAGAGAAGTTGTGTCCATTCGGTGATAGTCTTGTCACTCGAGTCATAGATTTCGATGTCATGGACTAAGAGCTCTTCGAGATGTGGCCACTGATTGACGATCAGCTCTAATGTCTTGAAACTGATTTCAGTTGACGACAGATATAAGTTCTTCACGTCTCGGAATTGGCGGACAATTGACTCCATATTTTGGTTTCGGTTGTGATTTAATACGAAATTAATGCGTCTGAAACTGATCGCGGTTGTGATGTCTAAGCGATTCCAGTCTTTGATTTCAAAGTTGGGTTTAAAACGTCTTATTTTCGAGTTCATCTCAAGATCATTGAACCCAACGCTCACTTCTCTCTTCTTCTTCAGCACTTGTTGTGAACAACGGCTGAATTGTTGTGACACTCGTTGTAATGAAAACAAGTCTTTTATATCCAATCGCTTGAATATATCCAACAGAATGTCATCATTCATGACATGTCTTCTTCTGGAACTCATTTCTTCGATTCTTTACTTTTATTTCATTTCTTTGATTACTTTTCAACAAATTTATTGATTTAAATATTTAACTGATTTTAAAATTACACAAAATATATAAACTAATTGTTGAAAATCGCGTTCAAATTTAAAATCAATTATTTATGAGTTATATTTCTAAATATATTTTGCAAATATTTTAATCAATTATATGTTGAAATTTTTTTAATTGAAATACTTTTAATTTCATAAGAAATAGTTATATTTGATTTCTTCAATATATTAAAAAGGGTAAAATGAGGGACACATAACCGAATAGATTTTATCTAAATTACCTTCAATTGTATTCTTTGTGAACATAATGTTTTGAACTTTTTCTATTCTTAAACATAATGACTGAAAACGTGACCAAAAATCACACATCCTTTCATTGGGATATCCATTGTTTCCATTCTTTGGATCAATTGACTCTTGACATTAGACTCCAAATTCAATCGGAATACTCGTCGCCTATTGTTGAGTGTGAAGACTATAAAGTGGATCAACTCATCGATCATATCTTCACCAATCGAGTAATCAATGTTGAGCTGATCCACACTTGCAAACAGTTCCAGTATATCTCTTGTGATGCGACCATTGATAGGAGTGCTGATAATAATATGTTTCAATTTCGGCATTTTTGACACCCAATGCATACACCGATAGAAACATTCATTGCAATCGTTTCCGTGTTTACATTCCGAGCGATAATAGATTAAATCGACACTCAATTTGCGGACATTCGGGAAGAGGTCAACAAAATTTGACCACCGATTCGGCGAACACTTGCATTCCTCCAGTGATAGTGTCTTCAACGACACCATTGGCGGCATATATTTGGCCATCTCTTGAGTATCGAAACACATTCTCGCGAACAGCGAAGTATTGAAACTTTGGATCTCAAGTATTTGCAAGTCTTTTAGTTTTGCAATATTTTGGGCAAATTCTTTGGCGGAAATGTCGGCTAAAATAATCTTGAAATAAGTGAGTGAATTGAGACGATTGCAGATCATTGCTAACCATTGTTTCCTGAGATCAAAATTGGCGACATTTAATGGTCTATAGGACTCATAAATGGATAGTTTCTTAATTTGTTGGCATTTACTTGTGATCACATCCAGTGCCTGATTGTCCTCTGATGTCATGCCTATGATAAGGCATTGGATGTTTGCCGGCAAACAATTAGTCAGTACTGATAGTGTGATCTCGTCGGAAGAATATGACATCCAATCCAAGACATTTACACTTTGAAGTGATGGCAAGTTTGCGATAATCTTTGCGAGAAGTGACACATATTTCTTATCAGTACTTCCGATAGTAATGTGTTTTACTTTAGAGAGAAGTTGTGTCCATTCGGTGATAGTCTTGTCACTCGAGTCGTAGATATTGATGTCATGGACTAAGAGCTTTTCGAGATGTGGCCACTGATTGACGATCAGCTCTAATGTCTTGAAACTGATGACAGTTGTGGACAGATATAATTTCTTCACGTCTCGGAATTGGCTAACAATTGACTCCATGTTTTGGTTTCTGTTGTGATTCAAAACCAAATTAATACCAACGAAACTGATCGCTGGTGTGATGTCAATGCGGTTCCAGTCTTTGACATCAAAGTTCGGTTTAAAACGTCTTATTCTTGAGCTCGTCTTCAGATCATTGAACCCAACGCTCACTTCTGTCGTCTTCTTCAGCACTTGTTGTGAACAACGGCTGAACTGTTGTGACACTCGTTGTAATGAAAACAAGTCTTTGAGATCCAATCGCTTGAATATATCTAACATAATGTCATCATTCATGACATGTCTTCTTCTGGAACTCATTTCTTTGATTCTTTATTTTTATTTCAATTTTTGATTACTTTTCAACAAATTTATTGATTTAAATATGTAACTGACTTTAAAATTACACAAAATATGTAAATTAATTGTTGAAAATCGCGTTCAAAATTCAATTCAATTATTTATGAGTTATATTTCTAAATATATTTTGTAAACATTTGAATCAATAATATTTATAAAACAACTTTTAGTTCAATAGTTATGTTTTATTTCTCTAATATATTAAAAAGGGTAAAATGAGGGACACGTAACCGAATAGATTTTATCTAAATCACCTTCAATTATATTCTTAGTAAACATAATGTTTTGAACTTTTTCTATTCTTAAACATAGTTTTTGTGCGATTTCCAAAGTTTTGTGGTTTGAATCCCAACACGAGTAAAGCAAATCATTTGATTTGCGATCGGATAAAGATTGGCAACAATTATGAAGTAATAATTCAGCGATTTGTTGATTATCGGCATAAAGTGGGGCAACGATTGAATTGCCAAACAATGTTTCGCAGATAACACAATAACCCATCACTTGATTAGTGCTATCATTAATGGCCACAGAGTTTATAGTATTTGGTGTTTTATGAAGCGCTGTAAGCATTGCACTCCTGTCGAGTCCATCGCAGACCTGTTTGTCGTATTCAATCACATCCGCGATATTGTTGTCATTCATGTCAACCAAACTTATGCCCGAAATACTAGCCGTCAAAGCGTTGACCACAGGTTTACCTCTCATACGAAAAAGTTGTCGTTTGGGAACGCTTTTAAAATTATAGCGATTGTAGTAAATATCTAATACAGTTTGATTAGCCGAGAATAGGCATGTATTTCTGTTGCCAATATGTTCAAGGCATTTATCAAGTAGGATTTTACCGATGCCTTTGCCCCGATATTCCGGTAATACCGCGAGTTGACCCACATGTGCCAATGACGGTGAAAGATTCACACCATTACACATTCCCAGTAATTTACCTGTTTATTAAATTAAAAGTTGTTTTATTATATTTAATTTATACTACATATACCAGTAGTGGTGTCTTGGGCTACAAGTATCCCCTTTGGATCCGTTGTGACCATCACTTCATTGATGTATTTCAATATATCAATTCCCACCGCAATATCTCTTATGTCTCGCATACCTTCGCAATCAGATAATTGCATTTCCCGTATAATATATGAAGGTTTTATATGATCACACATTAGGAATAATAATTATTGCAATTATGCAATTATTGAAATATTTTCAATTATTGTAGTTAAAGTCAAGACTTTACTAAACACATATAAATACTGTGCACACTTTATAATAAGAAAATGTAATGTAAAGTGCAAACTGTGCACACATTGCACTCAAATTAGTGTTAATTACATCATTAAATAATGTGACTATTTCTTCACAAATTAACCATCATTAAGCAATATGTTGCAAATGTTTGATAGGAATTGTGAGATTATATTTTATTAAATGCTTATTTTGCTTAAAACTTTAACCAAAATCTAAGTTACTGATAATGATTGGCAAATCGATTTATGATAAATTTCAATGAATGTGTAAAAATACCTTAATGTTGTCGCTTATGTAGTTATAAATCATTTAAGTTGTTGATTGTTAATTTGATTAAAATTTTATTTTTAATTTACTAAATAATTATCAATACATTTTTGTAGATGAAAACAATGTTTAGTTTTATCTTATAACTTAAAAAGGATAAAAACATGGCGCTGTAATTGAGTAAATCTTATTTAAATTACCATCAATTATTTTGTCAGTGAACAAAATTCTCTGAACTCTGGCTGTTTTTAAACCTAATTTGTGGCCGATTTCTATCGCCATATCATTTGAATCCCAACACGAATACAATAAGTCATTTGTCTTACTATCGGACAAACATTTACAACATTTTCCGACTAATAATTCAGCGATTTGTTGACTATCGGCATAAAGTGGGGCAACAATTGAATTGCCAAACAGACTCTCACTTATAAAACAATAGCCCATCACTTGATTGCTATCATTAATGGCCACAGAATTTATTATATTTGGTGTTTTATGAAGCGCTGTAAGCATTGCACTTCTGTCGAGTCCATCGCAGACCTGTTTGTCGTATTCAATCACATCCGCGATATTTTTATCATTCATGTCAACCAAACATATGCCGTCAATACTAGCCGTCAAACCGTTGACCACAGGTTTACCTCTCATACGAAGAAGTCTTCGTTTGGGAACAGCTTTGAAATTACATCTATTGTAGTATAAATCAAATACTTTCTGATTGGCAGCAATTAATGAAATATTTCTGTCGCCCATATGTTCAAAAATTTTATCCCAAAGAGTTTTCCCGACGCCTAACCCTTGATTTTCCGGTCGCACCGCATATTGACCCACAAATGCCAACTCCGGCGACAGATTCACACCATTGCAAACTCCCAGTAATTTACCTGTTAATAGATTTATGTTAATTAAATAGTAATTTATTTGTAATTATAATATAAATACCAGTAGTGGTGTCTTCGGCTACAAGTATGCCCTTTGGATCCGTTGTGATCATCACTTCATTGGCGTATCTAAATATATCAAAGCCCACGGATTGCCAGATCTCTCGAACGGCATCGCAATCAGACAATTGTAATTCTCGTACAATATATGAGGCATTTGTGTCACACATATTATAAAATTACAAAAATAAGAAATTTGAATAAAACTTATTTATAACTGAATTAATGTTTAATATTATGTATTTAAATAAATATAAAAGTTTATCACCAAAACCTTGTATATAATCAGATTAAGTCAACATTACAACACATTTAAACATCATATTTATTTCAATGCCAATACAGTATAATATTGTCAATATTAATACAGTAGCCATTTATTAAAATGTTGAAAATTATCATGGTTATACAGCACTGTTCAGCACATTAATAAATATATCATTTAGTTTACATTATTGTAATTCATATCTATATTAAGTTAAAATGGATAACACGAGGTGGAGGACACACAATAAATTTTATCTAAATCACCATCGATGATTTTCTTGTTAAACATAAGCAAAGAATTTGTCACACATTTTAAGCCCAATTTCTCTGCGATTTCCACTGCTTTTGTATTTGAATCAAAACACGAATACAATAAACGGGTTATTATTTTGCGATCGGTTATAGATTTACAACAATTATGAAGTAATAATTCAGCGATTTGTTGATTACCGGCATAAAGTGGGGCAACAATTGATTTTTCGCCAGCGGTTTCCGATATGAAACAATAACCCATCACTTGATTAGTGATGTCATTAATGGCCACAGAATTTACAGTATTTGGTAACTTATAAAATGCCCGAAGCATTGCACTCCTGTTGTTTCCATCGCAGACCTGTTTGTCGTATTCAATCACATCCGCGATATTGTCATCATTGATGTCAGCCATAGATATACCGGAAATACTATCCAATAAACCATTGAACACAGGTTTGCCAGCCATAAGAATTCGTCGTCTTTTGGCAATAGCTTTGAAATTGTGTTTATTTTTGTAAAACTCTTGCATTTTCTCTTTGCTCGCATATAATGTAGTGTTGGTCCAAAAGAAATTTCTTAGAAATTTCTCGGTAGAAATTTCTAGAAATTTCTCGTGAACAAATTTCTCCGAGAAATTTAATCAAAACATTGAATAATTAAGTTAATATACTTAAAAACAAAATATGTTCAATTAAATGTGTGTTTATTCACTACTAATGCATGCACTGAAATGATAAAACACACAAAAATACATAAAATTTGCTCTAATACCATAGAAAGACCCAAAAAATAACGTAACAATTAACTCATGTAATTTATGTGAGGCCTTTGTATATTCGTGTGTACTGTAATAAAACATATTGGATTACGTGGGGTTCCCATAGGATACCAAATTATGCGATTTTAAAAATAAAATAAAGCCATAATTAGAAGTAAAATAGAGTGTCTAGGATGTTTAACATGACCATAAGATTAGTTTCATTTAAATAAACACAAAAAAGTCTTAATTAATTGTGAAATCAACATGACAATAAAAAACATGTTTATTAAAAAAAAGTCCATAGTTTACTGTGGGGTTCCCATAGACATTGTGCATTGAAAGCTTGAAATGCCAACAAAATACTATTTTGAACATAAAATAAATTAACTATTATTTATAAAATTGTTTTTAACTTACGAAATATATATTTACACAATTAATTTATTATTAATTAAATAATCTAATTGTTTATTAAACTATTATTTAATGAATCATTTTGTATAAACTTTTAACAGTAGTCAATTATAGCAAATAAATAATTTATTCATAGTTAAACTTTTGTAATTGTGTATAAGTGTTTATATTTATTAAACTATATCTGTTATATAAACTACAAAGTAAAAAATATATTGCACAATTTAAGTATAAATATTTGTTTAACAATTACAAACTAACAATAAGTAATAAATACTATAAAATAGGACCAAATAGGGGGTACGGACATATATAACGTCAAGAACGATTTACATAGGATATAATGGGGTTCCCATAGACGGAGAAATTTCTTGAGAAATTTGTTAGAAATTTCTCGTAATTTTTGGAAATTTCTCATTTTACCCAACACTAATATAATGAGACATTTCTATCGGCCATATGTTCAACAATTTTATCCCAAAGAGATTTACCGATACCTAAGCCCTGGTATTCCGGTCTAACCGCGTACTGACCCACGAATGCCAACTCCGGCGATATATTCACACCATTACAAACGCCCAGTAATTTACCTGTTATTGTGTTTATTTTATGTTAAATAAATAGCAATTTATTTGTAATTACAATATAAATACCAGTAGTGGTGTCTTCGGCTACAAGTATGCCCTTTGGATCCGTTGTGATCATCACTTCATTAACGTATTTAAATATATCAAAGCCCACGGATTGCAAGACCTCTCGGACGGCATCGCAATCAGACAATTGTATTTCTCGTACAATATATGAGGGCTTAGTTTTGTCGCACATTATTGTATATTTGATGAAATAAAACTTTTTAAATGTTATTTAAATACTTAAATATTGTGTTTTTATATAATCACAGAATTTATTATAAAAATATAACAAAATGCTTTATTTAACCAGTTGAATTACAATTCAAGTAAACATTACAAACACATATTCATCTCAATGCCAATAATTTCAATGCCATTACAGTAGTAATTCATTTCTCTTGTAATCAAATCAATTATTAATAAAATGTTAAAAATTATAGATTCTTGTTATTTATATTAATTCAAATTTTTTTTTCATGGATTCCAAAATAATTGTATAAAGTAAGCAAATAATCTAAGGTACTATTTATTATATAAAATAGAATTTTATACATTTACAGTATTCTGAAATATGTCAATTAAATGTCATGTATTTTAATTATAAAAATAGTTTAGTAAATCAAATTGATTTAAAATGTAATGCTAATATGGAAGAACTGGCGAAAGGCCTATCCCATAGATTCTATGTAATTGACCATCTAGTGCTTTCTTTGTAAACATAATTGGCATTTCATGGTATTGTTTTAATCCCAATTTATTTGCGAGTTTTGCAGCATGGTCATTTGAATTCCAGTGTGAATAGCAAAGCGTTTTAGGTTCATAATCAGGGATTCGTTGCAAACAATTTCCAACTAATAATTCAGCGATTTGTTGATTATTGGCATAAAGTGGGGCAACAATTAAATTACCGGAAACAGTGACCGATATAAAACAATAGCCCATCACTTGATTGCTGTCATTAATGACCGCAACACCTGTGCTTTTAAACTGGCCGTTGAGTGCCCTGAGCTGTGCACTCCTGTCGAGTCCATCGCAGACCTGTTTGTCGTATTCAATCACATCCGCGATATTCTTATCATTCATGTCTACCAAACATATGCCGGGAATACTATCCGTCAAACTCTTGACAACAGGTTTGCCTTTTAAGAAAATGCGTAATCGTTTGGGAATAACATTAAAATTATGACGATTTTTGTAGAAATTAATCATTTTCTGGTCGATGCCATATAAACCCGCATTTCTATTGCCCATATGTGCCATAACTCTATTCCAAATAGCGGTTCCGATGCCTAATCCCTGACACTCTGGTCTCACGGCATAATTGTATACAAATGATAGCTCAGGCGATAGGTTAGCACAACAACAGGCGCCCAGAAGTTTGCCTTTAATTATGAGATAAATATAATTAAATGTCAATTTATATATAAGATATATTTTTACAGTACCTGTAGTGATGTCCTGTGCGACAAATGAACCCTCGGGATCGACCACAAGCAACATATTATGACCATAATTAAAAATATCAAATTTAACAGATAGCCATATTTGTTGCACTTCTTCGCTGTCCGACAATTGCATTGTCCGCACAGTATATGAAGGCATCGTTTTCAATACACATTATTTTCAATACTCATAACATAATTAAACACAACATGAATTCAATTAAAATATGTGTTAAATATTATTAAAATTACAATATATGTTGTACTAAACCTATTTATAAAGTTGACTTTATTTCGATTAGTTATAATGTTTAATCAAATTTAAAATCAATATTTAATTCACAATTGCAATGACTATTGACGTCCAGAGATTGTCACAAAATGCACTAAATTATCAGTAAAATGTAAGGAAATGTGCAAATTTTAATCACATTATGTAAACATTTAAATTAAAATTACGAAACATCGAAATGTTTAAACAAATAATATATTTATTTTAACGACAAATAATAATGTGCTTTTTATTTTGTATAAAACATCTGATGATCTAGATGATCCTTGTATTCGGTATTAATATTACTTTATTGTATAAAAGTATAAATGCGCATGATGCTATGAATGATACCATGAATGAATGCGCAAATGCCGTCAACCTAGACCTAAGAATGCGCTAATTTTGCGTCAAATAGTGTTATGTAACTTATATATGAATAACTTTAAAAACTATTATTTTTTCATGATTAGTGTAATAGATTTTAAACAATACATTTAAGAAAGATATTCTGTTAATTTAAAAACATTAATTTGTATATAAATATAAATTATTTTAAAAATCTATTTATTCTCTAAAATTTTAAGTTATTTTATATAAAATTCCTGTAAATTTATTAGAAATGTATTAATTGTTATTGAAATCTTGGATAAGTAAATATTAATTGCTTTAAACTTATTTTATTTTACAATAACTTGTGTTAAAAACGATATCTCATAAAATATGAATGAAGTGAACGGAGAGATTGATTTGAGACACCGATAAATCACTTAATCACTGAGACTGAAGGCATGGCCAACAATCACACACTCAGACATTGGTACATTCATTGTCGCCATTCTTTGGATCAGTTCTCTCTTGACTGTCGGCAATAAATTCAAACGGAATTCTCGGCGCCTATTGTCGAGCGAAAAGACTACAAAATGGATCAAATCGTCGATCAAATGTATGATATTTCCCATGACATCAATTGTATGCCTGGAATCAATACTGAGCTGATCCACACCAGCAAACAGTTCAAGTATATGCCTTGAAATGTAACCATCATGAAGATTACGAATGATAATGCGCTTGATTTTGGGCATTTTTAACACCCAATCCATACACCGATGAAAACACTCATTACAATCGTCTCCGACCGTACAATCCATGCGATAAAACATGTGATCGACATTCAATTGGCGGACATTCGGGAAGATTTTGGCCAAATTTGACCACCGATTCGGTGAACACTTCAGTCCCCACAGCGATAGTGTCTTCAACGACACCATTGGCCGCATATATCTGGCCATCTCTTGAGTGTCGACACACATCCGCATATCTTCATGGTTTGGGTGCACAGAAATAGCGGAACTGATGTGAAGTATTTTCAAGTGTTTAAGTTTTGCCACACTTTTGGCAAATTCTTTGCCGGAAATGTCGGCTAAAACAGCGTATAGACTCGTGAGTGAATTGAGACGATCGCAGATCATTGCGAACCACTGTTTCCAGTGATCAAACTCTAAGTCTTGCCCAAAGAGACCCATAAATCCTTGATTTAGAGACTCAAAAATGTATAATTCCTTTAATTGCCGGCATTTACTTGTGATCACATCGAGTGCCTGACTGTCCGCTGGAGTCACACCGATTCGTAGCCTTTGGATGTTTGCCGGCAGACAATCGGTCAGTAATGATGGAGTGATGGTCTGGTTGTACAGAACTAAACCCCAGACATTCACCGCTTGAAGTGATGGTAAGTTTGCGATCATATCTCTCAGAGATGTCGCATATCTTCTGTGAATACTTCCGATATTTATGTTTTTAACTTTTGCCAAAAGTTGTGTCAATTCGGTGAGCGATGTTTGAGTCAAGCGTTTACTCGAGCCATAGAAGTCGATGTTATAGATGTAAAGCTCGTTGAGTTGTGGCCACTCATTGACCATCAGCTCTAATGTCTTGTAATTGATGACAATTTCGGACAGATATAACTTCTTTACGCCACAGAATTGGCGGACAATAGACGCGAGTCTATAGTAATTCACTGCCAGTGCTTTGCCCTCTTTCAAAGTGACCGCTCGTGTGATGTCTAAGCGATTCCAGTCTTTCACATCAAATTTGTGTTTAAAACATCTTAACATTGAACTCGTCTTCAGATCATTGAACCCAACGCTCACTTCTGTCTTCTTCTGCAGCACTTGTTGTGAACAACGGCTGAACTGTTGTGACACTCGTTGTAATGAAAACAAGTCTTTGATATCTAAATACTTTAATATGAGTCCCAGAATGTCATCATTCGTGACATGTCTTCTCCT